AAAAGATCAAGAGTATGTGGGTACACTAAGGCCCTCCCACATTCTTTACTGCGTCATGGTTGGAGGGTAGAAGAAATGGTCCGTTACTTCTGTTGGAGCTCGTTATGAAGTATGGAGCATCCGCAGGTAATATTACAGTTGCCATTTATTTCCGTTTTTGAATTATTAATACAATTCTTGGGAGAAAAATTAAGGGAAACGAAGCTGCGTTAGAAATTTGAGGATCAAGGAGAAATATAGTTAGTTAAAAGGCACAAAAAGATTTAGGAATAATTTGCTTTATGAAGATTATTTTATTTTATGATTCTCTTTAGTGTTAGTTCGAATGGTAATGTTTTCTAGAAAGGAAATATTTCAATTATGTCAGTATAAAATTAATTAGTTTTTGTTATCGTGTCTACTCTCGTTTGTTTGATATCAAGAAATTCACCGTGGCAAGAAGACGAGATTTCGTCTGTCGTTGGCAGCAGCCTTGGGCACTATGCAGGTAACAGTATGCCTTTGCTCAATCCCGACCCCAGTTTAGAGAAAGAGCACCTCGAAGGAGGGCGTCCGAGGGTCTCTGACACCTCTTTCCCTACCATCAACCTCTCAAGAGGACTTTCGGCTAGCCTAATATTTAAAAAACCAACATGCCGCACAGACACTATACATTTACAAATATCTATGCCTTCTGCGGGATTCGAACCTGTGCCTTTCTGTACGGCAGTCTCATTAACCTATCTCCAGGTTAATCGGCTAAAATTAGTTTGACTAAAGAATACAAATGGGCAGATAAAAATGGTTATTCAGGTTCGTAATATTACATTTTGTTTTCTAGAATAAATAGCTATATCAGTTAAATAACTTTGTAAATAAATTAATATTCCCTTAATAATTAATGAATTCTGCTAGACATATCACCATGATATTATCTTATTTCATGCTCAGGCAAGAATTTGCACAAATACGTATTTTTATTACTAATTTAAAATATTTGTGTTAATAAATATTTTTTTTAACTAGTAGTGAGTGATTAAGATTGAATAAATAAATTTAGAATGCGCTATTGTGATCCAAGACATACAAAATGATAGACAGATCTTTTGAGACATAATGAATGTCTGTATGCTATAAAAAGTTTCCCAAAAAGTTAGAATTTTAGAGTACTTTAAATTAACAGAGCCCGTGTTAGTAAGAAAGTTGTTTTTCTAGGGGTATCAATTTAAATGGAAGCAAGAAAATGAATGTCTAGTGATAATAACCAGTTTAACCAAAACTGCAAGATGTGAAACATTCTTTAAAATTTCTCTTATGGTAAAATTTCAGTAAGGAAACAGCATTTATGAATGCTACTGATAAATGAAATTTTAGTTTGCGTGATCGTAAAATAGCTTTGTAACTATAACTTCAAAAATTACATTTGCGTAATGTTAACGAAATCTATTTAATTTCATGTTTTTTAAAGCTAGCTGAAATTTATTTGGCTATTTATTTGGTAAAAGCAGTGGCTGAAATAAAAGTATGTTCGCGTATCTTATGATCGCTAACGCAAACTTACGCGATCTTTCATATGGCATTTCTAATCGTCAAAAGGTTCCTTATCTGTAAGAATGAACAGGAAATTTGAACGAAAGTTCTGTGGACACATTTGATGATGGTAGTGTTGTACCAGAATATTGAATGAAAGGATAGAATCCTGCTGCTGAAGATGAGAAAGATTAGTCACGTCCAATTTCAAAAGAATAGATTCCGTGAAGAATGAATGAATGTTGGGGGCCGAAGTTATATTTTTGAATTTAACTAGAACATTTTCTTATTATATACTACCCCGTATGCTGAAGAATAAGAAACATAAAAACGAGATTAAAGGGAAATTGTTCAAATTTCTATTTTGAAAGAACAAAATAGTGGGGATAAATTTTAATTCGAATAGAAAAGTAATATTCTTAATTTTGCAATGAGTTTAATTTTACAGAATAATTTGGCTTCATTGTTACATATTATAAGCATATTTGCGTGTGATTTGAAATTTAATTTTCATTCCTGCCTTCTGACATAAATTCTGATTAATGACAATAACTTTTTAAGTCTAATTTTTTAATTTTCATATCGATTTCCTGTCTCACCATTTCCATGAAAATTACAACAAGCTGTTGATTATTATGTAAATTTCTTTAAATTGTATTTTTGTATTACTAATTTAAACTTAAATTGGATTTAATTTACTATCAAACAGAATTTTTGTTTTAATATGCTTTTTCAATACCATTTAATAAACCGTCAATTAGAAAAATCACCGTAGAAGGACTTATGTAGTAAAACCAGTGGAAACATTCAAAATACGGAAGTGAAATAAAATATTTGATAGTATGCGTATTTTACTAATTCGATAATAGTTAAAAATTTCAATGAACATTAAGAATCAGTAGGTTAAATATAAACAAAATAAATACATTTATACTATTACTAAAAAATGTAACTCGCTGTATTAATGATAACAGTTTTTATTATGAAAAGTAATTTATTATATAAATAGCAATTTATTTTCATGTATGTTGAAAACCAATAAATACTTGATTTAGTACTAAGCCTGACAAACACATCTAATGAAGAAATATTTCGCGGCTGTGATGTTAAGTTTTATACGTTTTACAGGTTAACAAACGAGATTTCCCATACTCATGCTAATTAGGTTAAAAAGTTTTTTAGAACAATTAATTTTAAGTAGATTAACGAATTTTGAATTATTACAAAACTTTTTTTTGATAAAAAATAGGCATTTTACGAATTAAAAAGTCTATGCGAGATATTAATTCATTATATAGGTATAATAAAGTAGTTCTTCCTTTAAGGAATTTTATTATTTCTTCAGAGAGATTTTAACGATTCTACGTTTAGTTTAAAAGCCATAGCTCATGTCATTTATTTATTTTAATTGAATGATGTTTAATGCCTATTATTTCCTTAAAATTTTATATCAAGAGAAATATTTAGGTAATAAATAATTTGAAATGCATTTCCAATACAAGAATTGAACGTATTATGATATTTAGAGCAAGATTTGAAATTTTTTACAAATTCCTTACCTGAAAGTCTATGTAATCCATACAAATTGGAAATTGCTTTTAACTAATAAAACTAGCTTTGTATATTGGCCAAATACTGGGCCTAAAAAGTGAATTGTTTTATTTTGGCAAACGAGTCTTCATATGTTATAATCCACAGCAATGTAAGTGAATTCCTGATTTACCTATAATTTCATCGAAAGATATAGAGCATTGTTTCCTAGAATTTTTAAGCAGCGATTATACAAAGCAATGATTTTGCTTGCCATTTCGTATATTGTGAAATGTAAATTTCACCGAAGTTGAAGCTAAATGCTAAATGCTTGTGTAATGCATGAAGGAATTTTTATCTAATGAGTGACCAAATATCTAAAATTTTGCTCTATATTTTATTTCTAAAGGGAGCTTGAAAATCCCTGAATTAAAGAAAGATTGTCGTGGATGAGATGACGTTTTGATTGTTTACATATATATCTATCTAATTTTGGCTTAGCTCGATTTTCTGTACTTTGCACGGATTACGTATAAACTTCTACTTTCTAATAAAGCTCTATATTTTCGTTTAAGCTTTTAGTAAAACTATGTATGAATTTGAGTATGAAACCAATATAAAAAAGTACATGCAAAAAATAAATTCTAGTTCATTTAAAAATTCGCGTGTCTGTCAACGGCGTAAGAAATCTATTTGAGATGAAAATAAATACTTTTATAAGACCCCCTACAAAGAATTCACAATTTGTCGTCAAGATATTTGATAGAAAGTTAAAATTATATTTCATACATTGTCTGACTGAATCAATATTCATTTGGTAGCTGTTATGGAGATTAAAAAAATAAGGCTTTCTCCAACTAATCAAGCATTTCTTTATTTAAGCATATTTCTTTCCTTGAGTAGAGCGTTAATTTCAGGCTAGAGTATAAAAAAAATCAAAGAAAATAATCTTCTTTGCAAAGTACTTTAAATTAAAAGCTTATAAACGGTCAAAATCTATACTTTTTTTGAAAAAAAAAATTGCATTTATATGCTCTTCATATATCATTATGCTGCATTATCCGATCAGTTTGAATTAAAAAATACTTATAATCCACACGAATGAGCCTTATAGTCCAAGTAATAAGCTAAAAAAAACAGGTTTTCCACGTTTCTAGAATTAGAATTATGTAAACAAAAGTTGCAAAAACTACTGAAAATTTTATACGAAACAGCCTACCATTGCAGTTTTCGTATCAAATATCTTGATTTCCAGAAAAATATTTTCAATAAAACTTAAACTGCCATATTATTTAGAATATTCCTTCTAAATTCTTTACGGTAAAAAAGTCCCTCTTCATCTAGACAAAAAAACACAGAATATATGACTGTATCAAAATTACACTTCAGTCAAAAACGAATACGAAATATAAGAACTATATGTGAATATATAAAACCGGAAATGTCGTTGAATACTTTGCAATGACTAAGGCTATAGACACGTCAAGATACAACATCAATCCAGGCAACATAATTGTAAGCAACCGAGTACTGCTTATTTTAAAACACACTAAGACCTGGTGATTTAATACACATTTTGTTATTATGTAATCAGGAAATTAATCGTTTTTTGAGTAATCAGTTACAAATATTAGATTTAAACAGATTTACTTAACTAAAGGCATAACAAAATATTAGGTTTCTAAAATTCCTGTTTTTTTGGAAATTGTAACTAATTTTTATTCTGAAATTTGAAGGCTAGTACTATTAGAATTACTTTTCCTAATTTGGCGTTTTGGAAGCAGTACTCGGCATTTCAGACACACATGGGTCGTTTTAGCTGTCTACGGGCCAAATACATTTGAAAAGCATACCTAAATTAATGTTGTTTTCCTTTAATTGGAATAGTATAATTGGCGTATAGATCCTTCTTATGTAGAACATGCTGAATTATAATCTTTATTTTTTTTCCAGACGACCTTATAATTTGAAAGTAAGCTGTGTGTCGAAGAAAGCTTTTTTCTTTTCAGACAATAAGTGGTTGCCTGGCGGGAGCACGACAACAAAGAGAAAGACATAACCTTTTCAGACTCATTCTGAATTTGGGACTCATGGCGAGATAAACAAAAAACTTCCATATGCAGTCCGTGATTCCTAACCAGAGAAGCCAGAAGTGCAAGGCGTGGTATTCGTCCGTGGCTTGGGAAACTTGCTCAAATATGCGAAAACAGAACCAGGGCAACCAAGTGATCCAGAAGAGCAAAATCAGAACGAATGACATGAGGTGGTCTGGATTGGATAGGTTTTCGCTAACTGCCGTAGCATAGTCTCGTTCTTCCTTTGTCAAGCACTTCCTGAGCTTGTACATTGTGCTGAGGATGTAGAAATAAGTATAGCTGATGGTGAGTATGCTCGGCGCGAGGACCAGTACAGCTAGTGTTATACTGTACGGTATCATGTTACCGAGATCCAGCATGCATATGTAACCATCTCCATAGAAACGACCTTTGGAAAACCCTAAGAGGGGAGGACTGCAGAGGAAAAGGGAAGTAAGCCATGTGAATACCATCCAGCACTGGCAGCGGGTTCGAGTTTGGATGACATCATAGCGAAGTGGTTTCCGGATGGCCAAATAGCGATCAACTGATATCCACATGAATGTATAAAGGCATACAGACCATAAAGTCAATCCTAAGAACCCTGTCAGCCGGCAAACCAAGTCTCCATATACCTGCAAAAAATCGGATAGAAACTCATAAATAAAAATCATATATATAGTGTTTGACATATTTATGAATCAAGGTAATCAAAAATTACGTTGTTCTATATTTAAAAATATTTTATTCTATCTCTGTTACATTTCTGGCTATTAATTTCAGATTTTTCAGTACTGAATTCAAGTAAAACATTTGTTGTTTCATATTTCTTTACTTGCCATTAGTTTTAAGGAGGAAATGGGGAACTAATATCACTATAAAAGTTTTTTTGTTTTTAAGTTTATACTCTTTTTATACATAGCTTTCACAAGAAATTTAAATACGACCAGTTTTTTGCGGGAAATAAGTATCATTCTTGTCCACTAAGGCTCAACTCCCATATATCTTTCGAACAGACAGGTAAAATAATTTCAAGTCAAATATTGGCTGGAAACATATGAAATAATTAAATTAAATATTTCATGATGTAATTGTTATTTATTGCTCAGTTACTATTCACATTTACATGCTATCCAATTCATAATTACCTACTAATACATAAAGAAATCTCCTCGTTTTATATGCACAAGTGCTTTTTATTTTGACAAGTGAATCCTTCTTTTGATCCAAGCTGATAGTCCCAGTTGGCCTATCCATTTTGCATTGCACAAGCAGCCGATCTCTTTGAACGTGTCCTGTCGCATATAAATATTGACATTGTTTGATATTTCTCACAAAATCTTTCTTATTTTGCCACAACCTCTCACATATAGTGAATTCTAGGATGAAATAAGCTTTATGTCCACCAATGCATGCCATACTTGTCGCATGTTGTCTCCTAGCTTTATGATTGCTGTTTGTTTCTCTGTTACTACCTGCAGTTACGTGATAAATTATACTTCAAGTGCACGTCTGGAGAAATTCTTTGCGTAACGGTTTTTAGCTGTGTTTCCTATAGTTATTTTACAGTAAATTTCAGAAACACCGAAGGCAATAACAAATCGCACTGCGTAACAAAGTCTTTCAGTCCTATTAGTACTATCACATAATAGACCTTTAGATCAGACAGAGATTTGTCTATTGTACTATAATTTAAAGTAGTACTTGAACATATAGATATTTTCTTTGATATTTATAGTATGAAAAGAAGGAAATTTATTCACACCAGAAAGAGAAACTACTTTTAGATGAGACGATGAAAATTCTTATAGTTACTTACACGACCTGAGTTATATGATAGTTGAAATTCAGTTACTAGTCCTTGACCCCCACGACTACAACTTTCACTAACAGCTGTTAAAACTTGCAATCGCAGTCGCGAGAGCCTCCGTTTTAAAAGTGTCCCTCAAATCAATTATTTGAAAATTTACACTACATTTTTATGCTTAATTTTGGTGACTCTCATAATGAGACATGGTGCCCTGTGTCTTACCATGAGAGAACCAAAATTTCAAGTTATAGAGGGGCCCTTATTTCATAAATCCACTTTTGCCTATAGCTACTATTATAAGAAACAACGATATACTTCTTTTAATATAACTGGAAAATGCTTTTCAATTTTTCACTATAAATTAAAAAACAAAACAAGACTATAAATTTATAATTCAATACATTATTCTGATCGCACTCTAGAATTAGAATAATAGCATTTTATTCATATTTTCTTTAGCTATATATTAGTTATGTTATCAGTAGTTAGTTTCAATTATGAATTATTTTTTTTTTCCTTCATAAAAATTTAGGTGCTACATAGTGCAAATTAAAGAATCTCTAGGGAAAAAATAACTGAGGTTTGCTGCATACTTAAATTATTATACCTTCTTTTATATACACTTCAGCTAAATGTTTAAGGTTTTTATACTGCATTTCTCATTTTAAAATTTTAAATATCAATAATTAAACAACAGATAGGTAAGAAGATGCGGTCCGATAGCGTCGATGATTTAGTGAATGCTAAATAAGCGTTCAAGCTTCAAAGTTTCGGCAGTCGCATGCTCTAGATCGATTTACAGTATGCTAGCAAGTCAAGTTTAGAATGAGATAATCGAATGGACAAATGAGTTTAAACTTAATCAACCTAGTCAATTTGATGAAACATGATTTTCCTAGATTAATTTCCGACTAACACACAATGGCAAAGCGGTCGTCCTAAAAAAGAAAATTAACCTTATATAGTGAAGTCTTTCTTGATGACAAACTTCTTCCTGTGAGTGAAATGTATTTCAAGCATTAGTTTGGTGAAAATATTTGATTGTAACCTTTTAACTGTAATGCTCTCATGTGGCTAAGGTTTTAAGTAGTTTACAGGTTGTTAATTTTACCTGCTGATTCTCAACGTTTTGGGAGTAAAAATTTGAAGTTTTGAATTAATTGAATTACTGCAAAGGAAAACAGCAAAAGAATACTTATCACTACTAAACACTTGATGTTAATGATTACAGAATGCCAGGAGTTTTATAAAATAGGAAATTCTTCACTAAAATTGAAAGTTTGTTGTAAATTAACTTATAATTAGTAATTGTTATTAGTCTAATTAGTTTATTAGTTTAATTTGATTCACTTAATTCCCTTATAAATTACTCTCTAGACAGGTTTCTAAATGCTAACAGTTTTCTGTCAGAAATGAAATATAGATTTATTAAGGTATAAAGATACCGCGAGAATTAATGTTTTATGGCATCCCGCAAAGAATGATTTTGAATGAACTGAGATATTTCTTTTCAACGCAGTTTCGCTTTTCTCAGAAATGTGCAGTAGAGCACCTGTTGGAGAATATTCCAGGTGTGTGTTAACTGACGTGTGGGGAATACGATACAAATATAATAAACCAAGTCCATAAGAATTTTCCGATCTTTTTTCACGTAATAATTTAATTCTTGGATCTGTAATATTTTCCGACATCCTTATTACTGTATTTATCTAGTTAACCGGATCACAATCTCTCATGTTCCGAATTTGTTGCTTTTGCTTAATCTGCCCCAAAGCTTGAACATGAATGAAAACCATTTGTGCTTCGACTGCAAACGAGTTATTCTAAATTTTCGTGTCTAAATTGAAAAGATTGCGGTTATCTCACCAAAATTACATCGTTAATTTATCTAGGTATAATAATTATAAGTTATAAAATTGGAATGTTGGAGAGGAATCTTAGTTTTTCACAGAATTTTATGCCTAATATTACATTTTATATTAATTTGTTTCTCTTCCATTCAGACAATTATCAACTGTTTAAGAAACGAGAAATAGGTAGCATATCAGCAGCAGATCGTAGCATGGTAAAATCAAGAATTAGTGGTGGTGTAATTTTTGCCTGCTTGCTCTATCGGACATTATATTCATTAGTGCTTTCAAATAAGTTTCGATTTCGTTCATGTAATAATTTTGTGTTCGAAACTAAGTAGTTTTTTTTTAAAACAGTGTTTATTTAAGTACAGGGCAGATCAATCCTCTGAATGCCACCCATTCCAGTAATCGAGAATCAGCGCCGGCGCAAGGTTATCCGGCGCCCGCCTGCAAAATAGCTGAAGTCGCCCCCCTTTTTCTAAATTTTTGTATATGAGAAGGAAGTTTTGAAGAAAGCATTTGTGGAAATTGATTTTAACAATTTATTGAGAATAATTTATTTTTCTGCATTTCATATTTACAAATTTTTCTATAATTTCTTTTGCATCTAGTTCTTGACAGATTTAATTTTCAATGGCAATCAAAGCTACATTTGAGTCTCTCCTGCGATATACTTGAACGCAAATATGTCTTGATCAATTTTAATTTGGAGAATGATCTTTCGCTACTAGCAAAACTAACAGAAATGCTAAGTAGTACGATCTTCAAGTTCGGGAAGCACAAATTATCTGATGCAATTAAGTTCAAAATATCGAATGGGTCATTCATACCGGCTGTAAAAATGTCTTTCGAAGCTACTATTTCGTCATAGAGTTCTTCTACGTTAACATCTTTATTGTCACCACACTGTAACAATTTTTCTAATTTATCACATTTTATTTTCAAATTTGCGTTATCGATTTCTGATAAATTACCCAGGAAACTGAAATTATCGCAGTGATTTTTCATTGCATCATATCTTTCGTTTAATGATGTCCAAGCAGTATCCAAAATTCTAAAAAAGACATTTGCCTTAAAGTTCTCTTCTGGAGAGAGGGGATTCGTCAGCATTCTTCCCCGATAAATGCACATTCTTTTGCATTAAAAAAAAAAACGCTCTGTGTCGTTCGCTGGTCGGCGCCCCTCCATTGGTCGGCGCCCGCCTGCAAAGAAGGCCTTGCGGGCCCGCTTCCGCCGGCCCTGTCGAGAATACTCTCATATACTACTACAGATTTATAAGTAACATATTTAATATACTTTAACAGATTTTCATTAACCCTAAGATTTGATTTACTAACACCTTCAGTATGAATGAACAGAACATAAAAAAGAGGTGAATAAATTTCACAAACCCATTCCTGGACGAAAGCAGGATAAACTGAAAGTGGTACAATGCAGACTCCACAAAGGAGATCAGCTACTGCCACTGACAGCACATAGAGATCAATGGCTTCTTTTGGGGCCGGTGAAGTAGCCACGGCCCAGATGACTAGAACATTGGTTATCACGATGGAGACGCATATGACTAAGATGACGACCGCTTCAACCACGCTCTCCAGATTTGCTTCAGTCGCGTCCAGTGCATAAGCTTCATCTTCAGATGGAAATAGACCAGACGAACGTCCCAGCATCACGAGTAGGAGCAGGAGCCACACTAAAAAATACAAAAAGAACATAAGCGTTTAAGCAGAGTCTAATTTGTTAAATTTTTGGTCGATCTCAATCGGTTTGAGACATTATTACTTACCGTGAAATATTTTAAGCATACAAATGCGTTTATTAACATTTGAGGTAGTAGTTATATTCGGAGCAAGGCAGATCTTGTGCACTTTGTCTTATTAAATCAATCGCTTAGTAATTATATTTAGTAGGCAATAATCAATAATTATTAACCAAATACAAAGTGAACTTACAAAGCAAAATTTACGTAGGAAGAACCATATTCCTTCTTGAAAGTTCTTTTGGCATAGGTGGTCCGCTTACACAGAAAGACCTGAGATAGCAGTTACCGATTTGTTCAACGGCTTTGCAGTATTTAAGTTGCTTTTGTGTTGAGTGAAAGAAGTACATATATTAGAAGTTCTATCTTATATGCATTATATAATAATTAGAATTATACCTCACGGTGTAATTCTAAGTTACTGTTGGAAGTGAAGAATCTTAAGAAGTGATAAGCGAATAATCGCTTGAGTTACTGTTAGTTTTAGAGGAAACAACAAGATAGAAGGGTAAAATAACCCTTTATTATTCCAACTAAAGTTAACACTAACTCCGTTTTGGAGTGTACAATAAAGCCGACACTTGGGCTTGAACTTAAGAGACTAAGAATTAAACTAAACTAATCTTAACTAAAGAGATATAGCCGAAGCTATCAAAATTCTATCAGAGTTGGCCCCTTAACGTTAATAGACTGCGAAGCTATCAAGGGTCTAAAGTACGGCCGGGCGTAATAATAGCTTACGAGAGCGTAGCCTAAAAAGGCGGACGCGTGCTGCCCAGAATATCTGGTTTTTGTCTCCCTAAGACCGAAGAACTTCGCGTTTAAATACCGCTGTTCTCAGTATGAATTTAGACGTGATTCTAAAACTACGTTCTGGCCGGAAGTGGTGAGTTGAAATTAAGAATCGATAGGAAAGGAAATTTAAATTAAGTTTAACTGTTAATAAAATTAACATAATCCTTACAAAATAAACGGCAAAACTAAATTAATAGATAATATAAAGTAACAAAACAGAGCGTTTGTCTATATGTGTACGTATGTCTATTGAATAACATAGAGACAGATGGCCCAGAACTAAGAAATTTGGTACCTATGTTACCTAGATAGTAATGGCATTTTTGTAAGACACTTTTGCTGTGATATGTATTAAATGTGATAGGTGATATCAAAACTTCACTGAAGAATTTTTCCTGTCAAGATAATAACAAGATCGTGCACCCTGAGTTTTACTGTGTTTCGTGAAACAGCAATTTTGTATCTACCAATTCCATCACTGCCAACAAAACAGCAGTTTGTTGTTTCACTATCATTGTGAATCTCTTCACTTCCTTCGGCATGCTGCGCTGTATTCGAGTTATTATCCTTCTTTAAAGTCAAGATTACTGATTTCCAAATCTCGTTGCATTGTAATTTAAATTATTATTGCTGTCTATTAGAAAATTTCTCAAAGTCATTAGAATTGCTTAAATTAAGAAACGCTGTTCTTCTGACATAATTGCACTTAGAGAACGCCTATAAGGACAGGAAAAAGCAACCAGGTTACGTACCGTCTTGCAAAGTAGTGCAGATATATGTTACTAAGTCATAATTGTTAAAAGCCCAATTGTAAAGAAACACATATTAAAAAAAGAAGGACAAAGAAGGAACTAGGAAGCATTCCTGAATTTTTATTTCGTTTTTTATAAGCTATTTCGACGTAGTAAAAAAAGTAAATAGAGAACAGTTTATAAACGCACTACAAGAGACAAAATATTAAGGATGGAACTTCAGTTTTGCTTTTGATGCTGGAATGTATTTTGTTGTCAAATTTGAACATTAATAGAATAGAAGTATTTGTATTTTATGGAATAGAAAAATGAAGATGATAATGGTTTACTGCATTGTCTGGACATTATTCCATTTAGAGAACGACAGAACTTAATTCATTCGTTATATGATGCTTTATGTAACAGAAAATATAGTAGTTCATCAGCTCAGTAAATACGAACATTAAAGACTTAAAACTGGATACAAAATAAAATTGAATATTCAATATTGGATTCAGTTTGAATCCTTGAAATTTACTTGAACTATACATGCAAAATTTGTAAATTTAATGAATATAAAAAAATCACCTTTTACACAGTGTTGGTTTCAAATAAAAACATTCATTTCATTTCGAGACAATGAAGAGATCATTGGTTTTTGTCTCGAAATGAAAATGGAAATTGTTATTTTGGAATTGGTTATTCCTGAGAAAGGGATACCTGTATTTTATCTCTTGAAATGTTTGAGCCTTTTCTTCTGAAATCGCTTTTAAAAGAAAATTAAACTTTAGCAGTTAATACACACTGGAAAATCAGACTTGCAAGTAGACGCCCAAGTTCCTTACGTAGGTGCTCTCTGTACACTGTGAAAAAAAAAAGAGGGGGGGGCAGTCTTATATCTCTTGTTCTACTGGGCCGATTGGCAACATTCAAATTGCTTTTTTCATGTCTCGAAAGCGCGATACTTAGGATATATATTAGATTTATGTATAGCATTGTTATAACATAGGTATTTTGACACAAAATCGGACTTTTTCTGAAATAACATACCAATTTTTTTTCCATATTTCGATTCTACGACTCAAATTATGCCTAGATATTAAATTTTGTAAAATTTGGTGCGAGATTTACAAAGATATTCAAAAGTTTATCTCGGCGCCATTTTTTTCAGTTTGCGCTAAAAATAATTCACTTGGCGAACTTTTTAATATTATGGCAACCAATTTTCCTTACCCTTCCATTATGCTGGAGTGAAAAAAAGGCACCTGGTTCCTACCGTTTTACACTGTGCACGAGCGGGAAAAAAGACACATTGTTCTTACTTTCAAATAATTTTAGCAAAGTATTTAAACTACATTTGGTGTTTTATCGCTTTCAACAAATATGCCAAATTTCAAAACGCGCCAATATATAAATTCACTTATATCTTCGAAAATTTTGAATAAAAATAATTTTTTGCAGGTATGCTTAGAAAAATGAAGTCACATTAAGATGATGGTAAAAATTTTATAGATTACAATTCAAATTTTTTTTTGAAAAATTTATAAAATTATTTAAAAATAAATTATAAAAAAATGGGTGAATTTTATTTGGAATGAACCTGAATTTCGAAATGTGACAGGAAGAATCAAATAAGTTTAATAAAAAAAGAGAGATTAATAAATATGTGACAAACTCAATTAACATTGAGGAGTTAAAATTTTGAGAGCTAATTTTTTAAAAATTACTCGTGCGATTTTTACATTACTTAGTTAGTTATTACTTAGTAGGCGTATACTGAGTCGTAGAATCGAAATATGGAAAAAACTTGTATTTTATTTCAGAAAAAGTCCGATTTTGTGTTAAAATATCTATATTAGAACAATACTATATATAAATCTAATACATATCCTAAATCGCGCTTTCGAGACATGGAAAACGTAACTTGAATTCCTCCAATCGGCCCAGTAGAACAGGGGATATGGGAACTGCCCTTTTTTTGTTTTTTATTTTTATGCGCAGTGTACATGTATACAGGCTATAGGCGTTGAGCAAAAGGTAACGCCAAATGAGAATTATGTTTTTTTTATTATTTCTGTGTGGGTAGTAGTGTAAAAAACGCTCCTGAACTCTCAACTAAAAAGACCTATGATGCTCTCAACTAGAGAGAACTTCGTTAGCAGACTCCTCACACTACGAGGACTATAAATTCATTTTTAATACCTATTTTAAAGAACTGTGAATGGCAATGACGTAACTGAGTAATGCGCATGTGTAAAGAGAAGAGAATTCTGGTCGGACGCCTGTCAGAGGGAGTTTGGGAAGCTCAGCCAGCGAGCTGAGGTGTAGAGATTTTATTCGTCCAGTGATGACGAGTGCCATCTTCGTTGACGTCTCTGATCGTGTTACCAGCTCGGACATCTACTAATGTTTTCTAAATTTATTAATTAAATGTTGTGTCTGTGGTATGTGCTGTGAATAAAAAGTGATGCATCACCAATACCAGTGTTAATTCCCTTCCACGACGTCACAGTAGCAACGGCTGATTGAATAATATGTATTTGTCACATCATTTGGCTGAACATATTATTCAGAATAGTAATAACCAGTTATTAATGGTCAAATCATGTATCAAATCATGTTAAAAGTATAAATCATGCGCTTTTCTTTTAGCCTAGATTTATTTATTCAAATTTTTAATGTCTCGTATTGTCATATGAAGCTTATACTATATAGGTAAAGTATATTTTAACATCGGAAATTAAAATTTTATGTCTTAGGTTTTCTGCGGGATGCATCTTACACTTAAATAAGAATATTTAATGTTAACGTTGGCGCTTAATATATTTACAAAAATGTATATAATTAGGCATTTAAAAATAATATTAACAGTTAGCCCAAACCTTTACTTCAAATGACTAACATTTAGAAATTTTCAGAAGAAGAATTAAAAGTGAATTGACATATTACAGAAATTCAAAATGAATGCTTTTAAAGCGTTACTAATATAGATACCATAGTTTCATAATGCTCAAGACATTACTCCTGCCGGAGGTGCTTATAAGGAATTAATTACCAGCGAGCATTACTCAAGCTGAGAGTCTCATATGTTAAATTCATCCATCAGTTATTAATATCATTAATTAAAACGGTACTTGATGCTAGAAAACGCAGCAAAATATATGTCTCTTATACAATGTTTTACAATTTTCGCAGGACTGTGTCCTAGATTTTAATTCAGTCAACTTTCGTCATGCGGGAATGACTTTTACTAACCCAGCTTCTGAAATATTATAGCCATAAAAGTGACCGACGCTACATGCGGATCGAATTTCTGCTTTCCCCTCCAGACGGTCGTAGAACATTCGAGGCAGTATGAAGGGTCCTAGACACTCGCTAAATTTCAAGGTCGGAAATATAACGACCCGC